GAGCTGAAATATGGTGAGTGGACGGTGTTGACCAAATGGGTTTTCCTTAAACAGCAGTTAGACGTTGAGGCCTCTGCACCTCAATAAGTCTGGGCACTTGAAAGAAAGTCACTATGGTTTCAGATGCCTTTTAAAACGATTTAGCTTTAAAGCAGCACTGCATATGGGCGACGCGGTTATTCATCCTGGGGAATTCTTTCATAGGCAATTCATCCGGAGAGCAAACGGGCCCTTGCACGCTTCCTACAGACTCAGAGGGAAACTCCGGAGAAACAATCCACTTAACAACCCACTGAAGTCATGATGTCCTTGCTGTTTCTCTGTCCCCTGGGGCCGTCTTAACCTTCTCCGGGACGTCAGAAACAAAGGATCATGATTTTCAGTGGGAAATTACCAGCTAGGGAAAACGAAGCTGACATTGGAGTACACATCTGGAGGCTGACTATGAAGTCGGGCAGACCCACGAAAGCAGGCTGCAGAGTCCGGGGCTCAGGGCCACACTTCCCCAATGTCACCCTGGGGCCAGGCTTTATGTCCCGGGGCTCTGCCTGCTGGGGGCTCCCCACAGACCACGTATCTATCCACAGCAGCAATTCTTCCAGGGGTGGGGCCGCCTGGCTGTTTTAGGCTTCAAGGAAGACTGCACTTGCCTGGCATCTTGGAGGAAGTTAACCCTTTCGTCAGGAGGGTAATGGGTTGGGCCAACGGTCGGCAAGCTCAAGGACACTCACATCACCCCTGCTAACTGAAGGGCAAGTCAACAGGGTGGCACACAGACCTGCCCTGTGGGAACAGTGTCAAAAATCAGGAAGATGACTTCTGATTCCCTCCCTCACCCATCCCTCCCACCCGCCACCTACCCTTCTTTTGAACATGCATGTTTTGAGAGACTACAATGAACCCTGGTGGCACTGTGGGTTGAGTGTTAACCACAAGGTCAGCACTATGAACCCACCAGTCTCACTATGGCAGAAAGATAAGGCGCTCTGCTCCCCTATACATTTACAGTCTCACAGCCCCAGAGGGGCAGTTCTAACCTGTCCTAGAGGCTCACCGTGGGTCCGACTGGACTCGTGGCAGTGAGAGCGGCTTGGTTTACATGCAGCAGGCAGTGAGGTACATGCTCAGTGTAAGATCACTCAACCCCAACCAAATCCCCTGCTGCCGAGCCCGTGCAGACTCACGGGCCCTATAGAGGATTTCTGAGATTGTAGAGCTTTACAGGATTGGATATCCTCAAGTCTCTCCTTGGA